GTTTTGGTGGCCTTGGTGGAGCCCCGGTTGGGGGCCCTACCCTGCCTGGGGAGTGGTGGGTGGATGGGGTGGGGGTAGGTTGAAGGTGGGGGAGAAGGAATGGGGGTGGGGGGAGGGAGAGGGAGAGGGAAAGTACATGTGAAAATATTAATAATTTAATAAAAAAAGAAAAAAAAAGTTATCTCTCTCACCACACGCCCCAGGTGTGTGTGCATGCCCTCATGTGCCATAGCATGTACACCCAAGTGACCACATGCTCTTGGGGATCAGAGAACAATTTTTGGTAGTCCTTTGGGAGTCAGTTCTCTCCTGCCACCTTGTGGGTTTTGGGGACAGAATTCAAGTTGTCAGGCCAAAAGGACAGACAGAGAAAAATGAAAACTTTGGAACTCTGATTTAATACTACATTAAAAAATTATTCCAGTTGATTTAAATATATAAAAACAGAGCAATATAAGGTTTAGGAGGAAAAGCCTATTATGATGATATGGTATAAGCAAGACTCTTAAATAAGCACAGGAAGGAAAATAACATAAATTCAATTACAATAAAATTAAAACCCAGTCATTAAAAAACACATTACTGAAAGCAGGGAAAAAGAAAGCCACGGAGTGGAAGATTTGTGTGATACAAACAGCTGACAAAGGAGGGGGTTGTATAAATAAATAATCATCACACTCCATCAAGGAATGAAGAGTCACTTAAACAGAAAAAGGGAGGACGATTTGCATGAATACTTATTAAAAGACACTCTGCAATATCAGTTGTAATGAAAATGCATATTTTAATCAGGACAGCATACCAGAGTACAATGATCACATAGTCTAAAATGGAAAGAAACCATACCTAATGTTGGAACTGATGGAATTTACCACACAGCCACAGTGATTGGATAGTTCAAGCCCAGAAGTCATTGTGGGATGACTGAAGCCTAAAGACTAAGCCTACCTCGATTGGTCCTAATTTATATGAAGAGCATGCCTAATAAATACTTCCTGAAATCCAACCTAGGTCTGCCTGAGGGCCTTGACAGGAGCAGTCCCCTCCCCCCAATGGAGACCCTTGGGGCCCTGTAACAAGTGATGACTTTGGGAAGTGCTGAGCAGTTATCTACAAAAGCTACAGACACAGCTGCCTATACCTCAGCAATTCTACTTGATACATATGCACGAAGAATGCAAAAATATGCTTATCAAAGCACAACCAAGTGTTTATGGAAGCATGTTCATAATTCTATCGAACTGGAAACCACCAACATTCTTGATGATGGAATGGATAAACACATTTTAGCATATTTACACAATGGAACACTGTCCCACAGAGAGACCCAACAAATTACACCAATAGGCAACAGTATGGAGAAATCCACGGGAGTGAAGGCACTGACTTACTGTGAGAGAAATTCACTTCAGATTGCCTATCTATTTTTCTTTTGGTCTTCAAGCATACGTGTTCAATGTTTACAAAGCCTATAATTCAGAAACTGTCGTTATGGTCTTCTTAAAGAAGAGGTGCTGCTATGTCTTTGGGCTACCACTTGGAATGCTTCCTTAAGGATAATAAAGTTACTTTGGAACTGATTGAACACAGGCAGTCATTTTCTCAATTAGCCTTCATACCATTAGATCAACTATGAACATCCATAGACCACACTGTATTATTATTCCTCTTGGACTCATACCAAATCTATATAAAAGAGGAACAACAGTAGCAGCTATATTACAGAACTGTTGTGGGAACCAAATGAGATAATGTGTATAATGGTGACAGTTGCATAGATGCTTGCATTTAATACAGATGCTTTTAATTAGGATAAATACCATTATCATTAGAATAACAGGACATGCTCATAAAATTGTTAGTGATTTCCTGACAGACCCCCATTGTTGCTGAAGCTGAATGGTGAATAGGTCTAGGGATTTGTATTTTGACTGACATTTGAGGTGATTCATTCTGCACATTTGAGTTTGAGAACTACCACCTAGAGATCAGGTTTCCGCAACTGTTACTCACAGTTTGCAGACAGCAGTCTGCATGCAATGACTGCTTCCTGATGGTGACTGATATTCAGTGTTGCCAGAGTGGTATAGAATAAATTATAAAAGGAATTTGTTACAGAATTGTGTACCATAAAAGACAGTTTCACATTTTGATTCCAAAAAAAAAAACATAAAAAGGAGTGTTGTTGTGTAGTATCAAAGTTAATTTAGCTCTAGTCATTAGACTCTTCTCAAGTTGTAAAGATATTTGATCCTCTTTCATTTCATATAACCTATTTTCCTCTTGAAATAATTCATCCCACCTGGATTTTATTGCTTCCTCCCTTTTTTGCTTTAGAGGATGCAAAAAGCACAGCCATGTTCTCACATATAGGGTAGGTACCATATTCTCTGGGCCTGAAGTATTTGTATTAGACCCAGAACTAGACACCCATGACCACTTTCTTACATCTGTATTCATTTATAGGAAAGTCCCAGGGAAAATTTCAAATGAGATATCTCCCACTGCTTAAGTCAAGTAAAAATCTGTATCAAATCACAGTAGCTATTTGAACTTTTCTGGTCTACAAAACAATTATGCAACTTACTGCACTGAATGTAAAATTTTATTGGGAAGCAGCATCTTCTCATTGGATGTTTGCGTGCACTGACAATGCTGAGTTAGCCTTTGATTAAAGGGGAAAAGCGTGAGTTACTTCTGTATTCATTTTGTTCCATCTTATTAGGTAAACTTCAAGGTAAAGATAAAGATAGAATAGATATTTTATCTCTGTAAGATGTTTGAGACCAAATGTCCTCATTCAGTGAAAAGTCTTGAATGTATTTTATTGTGTAAAGTAAGTTCATATAATTCAGTTTTATTTTTCCAACTGTTTTTGGCTCTCTGTGCAAATTTGGATTCTATAAATCAGTTGAAGTGTCTTTATGACATGTTCATTTCACGAGCCAAGGATAAGGATGGTTGGGAATAGAGATGAAGAACTTAAGCCCAGGCCACCAGATGGGCTTATTTTACAGCCAACAATTGCTTTTTTGTAAATATTAAATGCTCTTAATTTAATGATGCAATGATTAACATTGAAGATGACTCCAAATAACATTAAGAACCATCCCTCCTTCCTTTTCTCTCCCCCTTATTTTATTTTCTCTTTTTTTTCTTTGTGAGGTAGGATCTCACTTTGTTACTCTGGCTGAACACAAACTCACTATGTAGACTAGGCTGACATCAAATTTATCAAGGTCTGCCTGCCTTGGCTTCCCGAGTGCAGGGATTAAACACGTATGCCACCATGCCATGCTCTCCACTTCTTATTCCTAAGGATATTTTTTTATAGTGATGTTAAATTTTGACAGTTTGCTAGCAGTGGAAATTATGCTGTAAGCAAAAGTCTTCACAAGACAGAGATTCCTACAAAACACTGTAGTCTTAATTTTTCCAGACTGGTTACTGGCTACTCTTACAGAATCCAACTCCAAGAACAACTTCTCTTGACGCAAGGATTCTCTGCCCTGAAACCAGAATCACAAGGCTCACAGATTGAAGCCATGAGCTGTTCAGAAGAAACTTGACCCTTGACCCTTTACCTGCCTTCCCAACTGAATTTGCATCATGAAAACAAGTTACAATCCAGTACATTCTGACAAAGTAAAAACAGAAAAATGTATGAGCATCTTAAGAAGGTTAGATTTTTAGCAGACTGCTGACAGCATTAAACACATTTTTCAACCCTCAGTGCTGTGACAGTTACTCAGACTTCTTCCCCACTTGGGAGAAGTAGCAGCAAATTCCACTGAACTCCAATGTACCTTAAGAACTGTCCTGGTACTTAGATATGACATAGTAAGAAAAAACCATCCCACAAAGTTCCTGGTGGAGTTTTCTCTGCTTTTGTGGCCTCTTTTCTCTCTGCGATGACCTGGGGTTTTGGTTATGCTATTCTAGATTTTGTAGCAAATTGAGAGTTGTAAATAACACTTTGCTCTGTGATTTCTGTTCTGATACCTGAAACAAAATGTGAACATGATTGAGAATCGGAACGGATTTGGAAGCAGCAACCATGGAGTTCTCTGGTTGGTGGATGAATGTAAAATCCCTGACACCATTCAAAAGTTCACAGCTACCCGTCAAGAAAAGGAAAGGGAGGAGAGAAGGACCTGGCTATCAACACTAATATTGAGAGACTGTACATCGTTCATCCATTCATTTGGTCATTCATTGGGTTGCCCTCCCCATGCTTTCTGTTTCTCCCTTAAATGAGAAACAGGTTTTAAATTAAGGCTTAAGATGTTTCCAAATAATAAATAAAAGTGGTAACACTTACTTTCCTGTAATAAACTGGCTCCTGGACGGTGTGCAAATAGGCTGGACATAGTAGTTCTCTAGTTTAACGCCTTCCGCAGCGAGTTTGTCAAGGGTGGGAGTCTTTATCTCAGATCCATGGTAGCCCACATCCCTAAATCCCTGATCATCTGCTAAAATGAAAATGAGATGGGGCTGGGAGGTGCCCGTTGAGCCTGCTTCAGGTCTCTCTGCAGCTTGAGTTTTCAGGGGCCCCTTCTCTTCTAAGCTCTGGCCCCAGCACAGGTAGCCATAGGTGAGCAGGCTGAGGACCCAGAAGCCTGCCAGGGCACCCATTGCCACTATCTTTCCAGGCCACGCCCAGCCCCGAGGAGGTGGCGGAGCCTCTGCCTCCGCTCTGTCCCTGGGGGCCATTCACTCGGGCCCCAGGCAAGAGTCCACACGCAGAAGGCTGCCCCTTTTGCTGCTGCCGGCACACACATACATGCGGAGGCACTGATCCAGATGAAGAAAGCAACGGAATCCTGCTCCCTCCCAGCTGTCACTACTTTCCACAACTTGAGTCCTCTGGAGGTGATGGCTTAAACCGTGGATGCTAGAAAAACTAGAAGGTGAAGGTCCTTTCCACCAGTTTGTGCTTTTTCCTTTCCCAGCAACACGGAGAAGAAAAAATAAAAAAAAAGTTTGTATCTTCGCCCCAAAGTTCTCACGAAGAAAAAAGAACAAAAAGAGAGGAACTGATAGCCGCACAGGACAGGGGCATTGGGTGTTCACATAGTCCTCCACTTGGTCGGGGAGTAGGATTGTGCCCATGGGCAGGCAGGCACCAGGGGTAGTGGGACTGGCATCGGTCCAGCTGCCCCGGCACCCGGGAAGCCTTGCCAAGTTGCTCTGAGCGACTCCGTGCTTCTGGATGGATGACAGGCTGAGCCTAGGGGACCTGCTTCTGGCTGTCTGCCTTCCCCACTTTGTCAGGGCTATTTCCCCATCTTCAGCTGTGCCTTAGTCAATCTTCCTAACTCCTCTCCAGGCGGCGAAGTGAGAAAGGATCCTGTTCTAGAGCCGGCCTTCCCACCTCTTCAGAAATTCCTTTTCTGCCACGCAGAGCTTCGGGACACTCACGGGGTCCCAGCCGGTGATCGCCAGCACACGCATCCCCTGTGTTTGCAGCAGCTGCCCCCCGCGTGAGCTTGGGTAGCTGACTTAGTTCCGGCTCTCTGTGCCTTCTCTCTCTACTCGCCAGGCAGTCGCCGGAGATCCATGCTTGCTGGCTGAGGGCGGGCCCAGGCCGGGGAGGCGCTGGCTCTCAGCCCTCCTTTCTGCTAGAAGGATGGACCCGAGAAGGGCGGCTTCGCTGCAGGGTGTCTCCCAGGGGTCCCCAGTGCTGAGGTCCAGGTACAGGTCTTGGGTCTGCGCATCGCCTCTCTCCATGGACTCTGTGCTTGCCCATCCCGAAACTTTGGAAGCCACGGCTTCCAAAGAGGGGGTATCAACAGATGGCACAGTACACACTCTGGCTAGTTTTTCCTCTCTGCTCGCCTCCTCCTTTCCTATCCCTCCCTGCCTCTGCTGCTTCTTTTCTGTTTATTTTTCTGACAGCCCCAGAACTTTTAAAGTAGTACTTCTATCAACAGTTGGCCTTTCCAATCTGATTTACCCCTTGGTGTCTTCCTAAGAGAAGATGTTAAGAATGTAGGCTTTTTTTTTTTTTTTTTTTTTTTTTTTTTTTTTTTTTTTCCTCTCCAAACTTCCAGGGCTTTTCCCGCCAAGAATGTGGAGAGAGGCTTATGCCCTCAAGAACGGAAGCCCATCTATGGGTATAGCTTTGAGACAATTTCATGTACTGACCTTGTAGTCACTTGTGTACCTGACTCTGAACTTGAGATCCTCCTGCCTCCACTTCCCCAGATTCCCCCAAGCCAGTTTCATAAATCGTTAGACTAATTCCCCAGCACGCGATCAGCTGAGCTGTGACTTTGCATTTTTATAGCAATCATTGTTTCCTGTCTAGTATCTTAGAGTCTTCTTCCTTCCGCCCTTCCTCTATCTCTTTTTCTTTCTCTCCCTTTTCTTCTTCCATTTCTCTCTCTTCTCCCCACCAACAAGCCTCTAGCTTGTTGACTTGGAGAAAAATTTAACTTTTACTAAAATTGTAGCATTTTAAAACACTGCCCAGAGGCAGTATTTCTGTATTAAGAGGCAGTCAATGCCAGAAGTCCTTGAGATATGTTTTACTTTTTTTTTTCCATCTTCTTCCTTATTTGCTTCAACACTTACTCACTGAACACCCACTCCGGACTGGCATGTTAAACTCAGTTAATGGTGAAGTCATAATTCTGTTTCATTTAGCTGTTACTTTTAATTCCCTCCTGTTACTACAGTTCCTGTGGAATTCCCAGGCAAAGTCGGTGAAGTGGAAACAGCCTGGAAGATAGAATGCTGCTTCCTGTGACTAATTCTGCCAACACATACAGGCCGTTGCTTCCCTGGTTGTTCAGAGGAGAGATGCTGAGATTTAGAAGATATGTTTAGAATTGGGAGTAGCAATTCTGTGAGTTTAAATTTCCAAACTTACAAGGAAAGTCCTACTGGGGCTTAGAGTACTGAGAGTCAGGGCTCCAGGCTCCACTGGCTTAATGGGATGCTGGAGTGGAAAAGATTCAAACACTCAGACAGACCCAGCTACTTTCAGTTGGAGAGTTGGTGAATGAAACAGAAGGACAGTCTGTATTTCTGTGTGACAAAGACAGTCAATTCCAATGTATATTTCTGGCAAGAATTTTTTAAGCCAACATTTATGGACTATTTCCTGTGAGTTAACCATCGTACCCTAGACACTAACACAGATATGTATGCTCATGTGCGTCTAAGTCTTATGTGGTCAGCATCTCATATACTTTATCATTCTTCGCCAGCTCTGAGGAGCATTTCTCCATTCCACATCATTGGAAGAGCTGGGCCAGTAATATCAGTGGGAAGTAAGGAGTGAACTCAATCAGAATGTCTCTGCTCTGGTCGAACCTCTACTATGGTGAGAAAGAAGCATCCTGCTCAACTACCACTCTCAAGCCCCAACTGTTACTATGAAAAAAAAAACAAAAAAACAAAACAACAACAAGCTCCACTGGCTTAATGGGATGCTGGAGTGGAAAAGATTCAAACACTCAGACAGACCCAGCTACTTTCAGTTGGAGAGTTGGTGAATGAAACAGAAGGACAGTCTGTATTTCTGTGTGACAAAGACAGTCAATTCCAATGTATATTTCTGGCAAGAATTTTTTAAGCCAACATTTATGGACTATTTCCTGTGAGTTAACCATCGTACCCTAGACACTAACACAGATATGTATGCTCATGTGCGTCTAAGTCTTATGTGGTCAGCATCTCATATACTTTATCATTCTTCGCCAGCTCTGAGGAGCATTTCTCCATTCCACATCATTGGAAGAGCTGGGCCAGTAATATCAGTGGGAAGTAAGGAGTGAACTCAATCAGAATGTCTCTGCTCTGGTCGAACCTCTACTATGGTGAGAAAGAAGCATCCTGCTCAACTACCACTCTCAAGCCCCAACTGTTACTATGAAAAAAAACAAACAAACAAACAAAAAAACAACAACAACAAAAAAACTTCTGGAGAAGAGGAAAACAACTCAAAGAAATCTTAAAACAAAGACCCCTGGCTTATTCTATGTGTGGTTAGGCGGTGAGGTAGTGCAGGGAAGTGACCTTTAAACTGAAGAGGAATTATTTTATTTATTATCTTCTTTTTTTGTGGAAAATTTGGACATAAAAATCTAACTTCAAAGCTCCGTTTCAAAATGTGATCTTCCAAAAGGGGCTTGAAATCATTCCCAGACAACAAGCTCTGACTGACCACAAGTGGCAGCTAAGATCCTATTGTCTGTGTATTGGGATAATAAGCACACAGACTCAACATTTTCTACTATAGAGTTGGGCCTCATGTGCTGCTGTTTTAGGCAATAGTTTTACCATTCTCATGAAATGTCAAGTTGAAATACCCATATAGCTTAGCAGTTCCTTCCTCATTTGAGCATTAATATTTTTATATTCAGGCATCAGTTGTTTCCATGGAAGCTTTTCTTAGGTTTATTTCAGCTTGGGTATACTTAATTATAAACAAAATCATTTCATTTAGCTATGGAATGGCCATAAGTTTTAGTTACTGTTCTATCGATGTGAAGAGACATTGTGATTAAGGCAACTTAAAGAAGAAAGCATTTAATTGGAGGTTTGTTTACATTTTCAGAGGATTAGTCAATTATCATCATGGCAGCATGCAAGCATGCTGGGTGCAGGCACAGAGAGAGAGAGAGAGGAAGAGAGAGAGAGAGAGAGAGAAAGAGAGAGAGAGAGAGAGAGAGAGGAAAAGGAGGCAGAGAGAGAGAGAGAGAGAGAGAGAAAAAGAGGAAAAGAGAGAGAGAGACAGAGAGACAGAGAGAGAGAGAGAAGAGGAGAGAAAGAGAGAGAGAGAGAAACTAGCTGAGCCAATGCAGGAAGTGGGATTAATTTAATAAATTCCTGTGACATCAGATACTGAGGGGACCAGAAAGTTCCCCAACATTTTGGACATTAGAAATGGATACTTTTATGAGTAGGACATGCCATTATAGCATGCGATTTTCTGGACTGGATTTATAGAGATAGAAACAAGCGAATTCAGCCCATGAATGTGATGGGTTATAATGGTCTTTCAAGATGGTTGAAACTTGTGAAACCCTTTTATTAGAACAAGTAGTGATGAAGTGTACAGGAAGAGAGATCGGAGATTTCTTTTTCAGCAGGGGTTTGAAGAAGTACAGGGTGGAATACCACAATTGCCAGAGAGTTTGAAAATTTTGCAGTAACATATTCGTTGGTTAATATCCTATACTTAAGTTATGAAAGCCAATGCTCATTGAAAGCTCAAAAGAATTAATCAACCAAGAGGGTAAAATGGATTCATGTTGGACCCCAGAACGAACTTTAATTTGATAATATGAAAATAAAATTAAACCCTAGAATGAGATTGATGGCTACTCTCTATGCTATCCTAGAGTCCTCATCCAGTGGCTGATGGAAGCAGA